GGGCTGGGCGGTGTCAACACGTCAACATGTTAACAAGCTAACTGCGCTAACGCACTAGTTCCCACCAATTGAGCATTGCTGGCACATCTGACATACTGTTTTACTTTTGTCCATGACGCGCTTACCATCAGGGTTATACTTCACATGAAAACCGAGATAGTTCCAAACGCCAGATCTTAATGAGGGTGGGGGAGGTTCAGTTTCGGGTAGCGTTGAGGCAGTTGCCATGTTGCAACGAGCTTAGCTTCTGTCTTGCTAGCTTGCGCTGCGCTCAGTGGATCTGTGCTCGACAGTGCAGCCTAGGCGGAGTAGTCGAACGCAGATCCACTGAGCGCTCAACACAGACAGCATCGTCAGACGAAAAGTTGATAAAATAAATAAAAATTTTTGTATTGTTCGATACATATGCGTACCGAACCGAAAGCACTGTATCGAACGGTTCAATATCGATGCAAGTATTGTTGCACCCTTAATAAATATATATATATATATATATATGGGTAAATATTTTAAATCCCAGTAGGAGATAACAGTTGTCATGAGAGCGGTTATCAAGCCAAGCTCACACATTAAGTGGCGTTTTACATGTAAAACTTTTTTTTCGGTGCAAAATGATCCCTATGAGTGTCACCTACTTCAATCACAGACGTCATCAGATGATGATGATAAAATGGGGATAAAAATCTATAAACAACATGAAAAATGGAACAGTAAAATGCAACACTGTTGCAAATAAGATGAGATATTAATGCTCCAGAAAGTCATTAATCTCAGGATGTAGCGCACAGAGCAATAAAATAAACAGTTTAATTGCAGTTAATGCTGAGTGCTGCTCTTCTTGCTGCTGTTTATTTCTAATGCGATGGCTGCAGAGTTGAGCTCTGAAACTTTAAACTTCATACATTTAATCATTAGATGTTACTGTCCTATAGCCTAATAAAGGACATATAGAAATAGTTTGGTCAGCAGATCAAGGAAAAACAAATTTTATTGCCTGAGTTGCTACTCGGTGAGTTTTCTGTGCTGTAGTAGCTGCAATGCCAGTAGATTAAAACAGACTATCTTTAGGAGCTTGATACTCTCCATACTGCATCTATACATCAGTGCACAGTTTGCACTGCTGTAACTTCACAGCTGGGTTTCATTTATAATGTAAGGTACAGCTTGAGAATTAGCACATATAAAACAAAAACTAAGCTGTCAATGAAAGAAGAAACTGATTTTTAACCAAAACTCTGAACATAACCTGCTCACTCCTACCCAGGTTATATGTCTAGCACAGGTTACCATAGTGATTTAGTGCAACAAGAGCCACTTTTATGACACAGAAAACTGACTTTAAACTTCACCATTAATGATCCCTTTTAAAGAACCTGCCTTTATTTTCTCCCCATTTCAAATCTGAATGCTAATCAAGCTTTCGTTTAAAGCTATAGGCTGTGATAGGCAATCTCCAGCAGACGTTATGACCCATCGTAGCACAGATGTAACTGACCAAATTAATTATCATCCAGTTCTGTTTAGTGTTTTAGTACATTACAATGAGCATACACAATACCGGGGCTCCGAACCATGTAAATGGAACCAGACCATAATTAGTGTTATTAATTACACCTTGTTTTCTCTGAAATTGCAAAGCTTATGTAAAAGTGCTGATATATCTTCTCCTTAGACTCATGAGCAGAAAGCTGAAAATATTTGTCAGGTGTAAGGCTAGATATATAAAAAAAAGTGGATCCTTGTCCTGTCAAGCAATGAGGTCTTTATAAAAAAACTTCCTGTTGCTCTATATAACCTCTAAAATAACTTATAATCTCGGGTAGTATTTCTGACCATTCTGGTTGTAGTTTACTTGCCCTTTGCTAAGACACATCATGGTCTGTCTTCTTTTAATAAGGTCATGGTCTCCTGGAGCCAGAGACAACCCCTTTAACGACCTGCGCTATATATGGGGAGGCTTCGCCTACCTGCAGGATATGATTGACCATGGCATTATACGGGCGCACACCTCAAAAACCCAACCACTGGGAGTTTTTGCCCAGCAAATGCCGTATCCTTGCTATGTGGATGACGCGTGAGTACAAAAGCATTTTTTTTTCTTTTCTGTCAGCCTTGTAAATAGAGGAAGAGGGAAGAGAAATACAGCAACACAATGACTTTCCACTCTGTGCCACCACACAGTTAAGTCATGTTCTCCTCAGCCTCTAAGCCTAAACCTATCAGATTCCCCCTTGGAAAGCTGCTTAGTTCTATTTGTGTAACTTGCCATTTATTTATTTTATGTGTTTCCCTTCTGCTGTCACAGATCACAGACGTAGGCTCTAAGACGGGGAGCACCCTTAATTGTGTCATTGTTAAAAGTAAATAGTGAAACTCTGAAATCTAAGAGTAAATGTAGTCATGAATTGATTTTCTGCAAGAGGGAGGAAACGAGTGAAACTTAGCGAGTGGAAAAGAGAGAGGCCAAACTATTGATTTTAGTCAAACCACAGGAAATTCCTGAATAGTTGGTGGATGCTGAATTATTTAAGCAACCACTTTGAATGCCTTCCTTTTTTGTACTTCCTTTTCAACAAAGTGAGCGTAGAGCAGCGCACGTGCAACACAGCTCCATTGCATGCAAGGATAGATAGCAGCCTTCCCTCTGTGTTCTTGATGTATTTATTGATATCGCTGGCTTCTATCGTGTTTGATCATCCACCTGGGGACACAAACGACGTGGTATCACACTCAATCTTCTACGCCCATAATTTCCTCCGAGTCCAGGAAAAAAAAAATCTCCTATTCGCAAAACATTATAATCCCCATTAATAAAGGAAAAACCCAGCAATGCCATCAAGAGAAAAGATAATTACCAGTGAGATTTAAGTCCAACAACACAATACCCACACTTTCAGTACACGCAAAGTTATTCTCGACCCATGGGCAAATGCATTTCCAGAAATTAGGAATCTAATTTTAAAGTATTATGTGGTTTGGGTAGCACAAAATTTTCAGTAAATCAACCTTCTGGGGGTTACAGGGAACATGAAAATGATGACTTCATATGTGGTCTGCAAATCTCTACAAGCCTGCTGTTGAACAATTTTGAAGAATATTGCCCTGCGTGATGTGTTTGTCTCAGAGAAATGAGAAACAAAACAAAACAGAGACATTTTGCTGATAGGTGATTTAGTGTAAACTACTAAACCCAGTGGAAATGTTCATCTAGAAGGTGTATTGTCATTTTAAGTTATCCATACTAAAGCATCACAGCATTAAGGTTCATGGTTAACGCAACCTTTAGAAATGCATCTGTGTAGTGTAGTGGTAAGACTCCACACCTTTGAATCACAAGTTTAATTCCCACCCTGTATCCAGTAAGGGTCCTGGCTAGATCCGCATGCTAAAACCAAGCCCTGAAATGGTGCGTCTTTGTCTGGAGCTCTACATGTTGTCATAATTGTTCTGCAACACATTGCATGAAAAAAATACATTATGTTGCAGAATTTAAAAGCTAGTATGTGCCTGTATAAGGCTTTTGTTAATAGGGGGTCATTTTGGCCACAGGAGCTTAGTTATACTATATGTACGTTAAAATCCCATGATGACAGTGCGTTTCATTTATAGCCAAACTTGAGCCTGACTTTACTTCAATTGCGTTTCCACTTTAAACATCTTAAAAGTAGCATTATTTAATGAGGTTATCTTGCTAAACAAAGTGTTTGTTTTTGTAATAATAATCCAAAATACTGTGAAATAATCCCACTGTCTTTTTGTTGAGGGAACTGGGCCAAAAGACAGTGAGAAGTTGGCTATAAAATTTTCTTGAAGCCTAGTACTTTTCCATGGACCTCCATACAGCCCTAACACGATTAGCATAGAGTATGTTTGTTATCACTGGAACTATGGCAAGCCCAGGTAAAAGAAGGAACCACAAGACATCCCATTCCCAATCATTTTTTGCATTTCCTATATTCCATACACTGTTCAACCCCTGGAATACAGCTTTGTTAGCACTAACCCTCCTAAACCGGTGCAGTGACCATTATTGATTAGTCACTCAACACCACCCTCAAACAAGAGGACAACTACACACTGGATTTCATGTCATGAACTCGCATCATGAACAATAACAGTGAGGATCCAGCAGAACTGCAGTACCATTTATAACACTGTAAATAAAACATTAGCGTCAGAACCTACAGTCCCATGAGTCCTTGCACTATTGGCCCCTCCCCTTAGACTCCAACAGTACTTTTTTGCCCTTTGGAGCAGCTTATACTCTAAAGCTGTTCAAACTTTATAATTATCAAGCCATGTAATGTGTTTCAGAGCTCCCATTGGCACAAACATAAAGTGGGTGGGACTAAAGGACACAATGAGCATGTTTGGATGCAGTTAATGGCTTCCATCTTTGATATACAGCATTCTTTTATGATACAGAACCCGACTTTTCACTGAAAACGGCTCCGAGAAGCACCAAGAATACAAAACCTGCAGATGGAAAATGACTCTACTTGTTTTTATCACTATAGTAACAACAGCTAGCAGATTTTATTTTTTAAGTTTGCTGTTAATCCACAAAATCAGAGCCACAATTTCCCTCTGGTCAGCTTTTTGTTGTGATCTTAAATTAGACAGTCATGGTGCAGCTTATTGGTACACAGTGGCCTCTTTGCTTCAGCGGACATCTTCCTTAAAAACAAAGGATTAATAATTACAGATGATAAAAAGGAGCCGTAAACCATAGCAGTACCATCCTCAGTCACTCCACCATTTACTCTTTCCTCTGCAGAGACATTTGGGCATTTCTATGAATTATTAACACTCAAAAACTGCTTTTTCTGTTATAAATAATAGAGAGTGAAATCACACAAAGGCAGATGCGCTTAGACACGGAGAGGCATGATGGGGAGGAACTTTGCTGGTAATTGTTTTCATCGTGAACTGTGTGTTACCAGGCAGAAAGAAGGAAAGGACATTGCGCATTTAGATGGCTATTAGTTCTTATTTCTGATTTTAAAATGTTATTTAAAAAGAACATAGTCTTTGGATGAATCATGTCCTGTTCGGAAAGTAGTGCTCTCCACCTAGAAGGCATAAGATGTGTTGTATAAATGCATGGCATAAAAAACACAGGTTTAACCCTGGAGAACCCATGGGGTCAGATCCAACCCCATTGGTTTACTAGGGAAACCATGGGGTCAAATTTGACCCAATGGGTTTTCCAGGGTTAAAATATAATATGTTTTAGTATTTAGTTTTTTATTCTTCACATTGGTGGTGATTTATTTTGTTAGTTTAGTCGCACATTTAAGTTTGAGTATATGATATTAATACAACAGGAAATGTTATGACAACAGCCCAGGAAGCCGTTGCCAATGACATCATTAGTTTCTGTCAGACCGTATCGTCACTTTTTTATTATCTTTGTAGGTCTGCTTTTAATCTCACGTAAACAATATTTCTACTCCGCTGATAAACTTCAGCTAAGAAGCCAGTATTATCTGCGCTGACCCCCAACCCTCATCATCAGACCTGCCTCGGAAATAATTCCCTTTTCGTGTCCCCTCATTTCCTCCTCGTAGCTTTTGGCAGCGGCGCGCTCAACGAGCAATCTGGACTCCTTCAGCCACAGCTGACCCTGTTGGCATTTTGAAATTGAGATAACTAAACTGCATTTGCTCCCACTGTCTTCATATTCACAGTGTGTACAGGACTGCAATGACAGTGCGGGATAAAGCCTGACCCCTGCGGGCTCTGATAGCACATAAACAGACCCTTTATCAGCGGCCTCTGAGCCATTGCAGGCTCTTGAATCAGAGGCATGCCTTGTTTGGATCCTAAGGCTGTGCTCCCCATCAATAGGTCTTTCACATTCACATGGGTTTGATGTTAGATAATAGTGGCCGGCACTGAACGTGCCAAATACGCAAGGATGTGTTGGGGAATACGCTTTTGTCCATCTTCAGTGGCTAATTAACCCGACGTGTGCACCGTTACTACTGAGAGGGCCTGAAAAAGCCGAGCATAATTAGAAGATCTGACGCTTGTAACAAGCAAAAATCTGCAATTGATGTTTTGTTTCATGTTTATAGTGTTTCTGTGCTGTGCAGCGACAAGCTGTATTAATGATATCAGAAAATATTCCCAGCATGACTCCCTGTACACTGAAAGAGCCTTTTGTCACCGCGGCTGAAAAGAAGCTTTTAATGCTGGATAGTGCAATTCCAGCTTCCCAAAAATCATTTCTCCCTGTTTACAGGGGATGGGGAACAGAAGGTGCATGTATTGATTTGGTGTCTAATACAAAATACAAAAAAATACATCTGACAGCAGGATACTGGGGAACTTTAATTTTTTGTTGCAAAAACTCTGTGCAGTGTGCAGAAATTGACATACTGGTTAAAACTATACTCCAGTTCCAGATGAACTGGAGTTTTTCTTAATGGTTTAGATATATGGTTGGCCCAGCATCACACTCAAGCCCAGAGAAGGATGCTGCTTCAGCTGATCAATCTACTGTTCATTGAAGCCTCATTAGGAATGGTCTGAGTGGAAAAATTGCTGTGAAAAAGCAATTCTTAAGGAATGGAAACTGATGCCAAAATTATACAGCAAGTCTTATAGAGCAGTGGCCCCCACCCCCCGGGCCACGGACCGGTACCGGTCTGTGAGTCGTTTGGTACCGGGCCGCGAGAGTTGAGGCTCAGGTGTGAAATTTATGGTTTTCAGGGTTTTTATTGGTTTTTGTCATTATTTTTTTATTGTTTTTATCGTTTCCCTGGGTCTTTTCCCTTCTCTTTTTTGATACCGGTACTGGTGTTATTTTGTTGTATTTATCCTTAAAGGCTGGTCCGTGAAAATATTGTTGGACATAAATCGGTCCGTGGCACAAAAATGGTTGGGGAGCGCTATTATAGACGGATGAATCCAAATGTGAAGTTTTTGGTGTAAACTATCATCAGTATGTACAGAGGAGGTACAATAACAGTGAGAGTGTGAGGGCGTATGGTGGAGGCTCTCCCACAGTTTGGGGCTCCATTCCAACCAGCGATGTTAAAAATCTTGTCAAAATTGATGTTATTATGA